GTCCGCCCGCCTACCGCACGCGCCTCCGGCCCGCCGTCCGGAGCCGCTTTCGGTTTCAGAGTAGCTGGGACCGTCCGCTCGCCCGGCTTTCGCCACCAGCGGGGATTAAAGGGGGCACCGCGGGCGCCCTACGGCGGCCGCCCAGCACCGGGCCGCTTAGCCTCCGCCGCAGGAGCCTTCCAGCCCCAGCGGCGGGCTCGCGGAGGGGCGGGGCCGATGGCATGGGCGTGGTCAGGGCGCCCAAGAGGCGGGGCGCGAGGCCCGGGGGCGGGGCGCGAGGCCCGGGGGCGGGGCGCGAGGCCCGGGGGCGGGGCGCGAGGCCCGGGGGCGGGGCGCGAGGCCCGGGGGCGGGGCGCGAGGCCCGGGGCGGGGCGCGAGGCCCGGGGGCGGGGCGCGAGGCCCGGGGGCGGGGCGCGAGGCCCGGGGGCGGGGCGCGAGGCCCGGGGGCGGGGCGCGAGGCCCGGGGGCGGGGCGCGAGGCCCGGGGGCGGCCCGGAACTCCCGCGGGCTGGTGAAGTAGCCCATGTGGAAGGATACTTCTGTTACTAAGACCATCAGTGCCTCGTGTGCCTTTGAACTGACTGTGTATTTCGCTCTTCGGTCAGCCTCTCTTCTGCCCCCAGACCTGTCCGTTCTGGAGCAGACGCGTTTGCTCAAGATCAGAGGTCTGGCTGGAATCATACCTTCCCAGCTTTTCCTGCAGAGCAGTGCAAACCCACAGCCAGCTCTCATCCTGCTGTTAGCCTAACAGTGTCTCAGAGTCGCAGAGCTCATCTGTCAAAAGCTCCCCAGATAGCCTCCTGGTGCCTGAGCTCTAGAGGTGACCCGAATGACCTACCCAAGGCTAAGAAGTTGAATCTTGGCTTTCCAACTCCTAAACACAGGGCTGTTTCAATTTATTTGCTCTATGCGGTCACGATCATTTCAGCCTATATGAACTAAACAGGCTGGCATCCCAGTAAATAGAACCCAGCCCTAGATGTCACATGTACTTATATCTAAGTCTGCTGACTTCTATGCTGTCTCTGTCACAGACCACACCAGATTCTAGGCCTTTTAGCTACAGGACTCACCTTCATAATCACTTTGTAAAGGAGCTTCTGTGTAGTCACGCCTTAAGTTTCAGATTCCCTGAGATTGTATCCAGGTTGTATCTCTCCCCTTTGAAAATGGCTCCTTTGCCTGCCCTGACACCTGCAGAGACACCCTCACTGGTTTCAAAACAAAGGGTAACAAAACATGACAATTCTTGAAGGTGTGTGGGAAGGACAAAGCATAAATGTACATAGATAATAAACGAGTCTGGATGTGGTGGGTTAAGCCTATCAACCCTGCGTTCAGGAAGCAGAGGGACAAGGCCAGCCTCAGACACAGAGCAAGTGTGTGAACCAGACGGGGCTATGAGAGATCGCCTCAACAAAACAAACAAAATAAAAAGCCAGGTGCCTTTAATCATGACACTGGAGAAACAGGAAGTTCTTTGTGAGTTCCAGGTCAGCCTGACCTACACCGAAAGTCCTAGGATAGCCAGGACTATGTAGAGAGCCCCTGAGTCTCAGAAGAGAGAGAGAAAAAGAGTGAAATGTGCTTGTGTAGCTGAAGACTACTGTACTGCAGCTCAGTGTGCACAGAAGGCCCAGCACTCGACCCACATTAACCCACTATCTTCCTCGGTGTTCTACTGAGACACCATGACCACGGCAACTCTTATAAAAGACACATTTAGTTGGGGCTGGTTTACAGTTCCAGAGGTTCTGTCCATTATCTTCATGGCAGGCGGCATGGTGGCGCGCAGGCAGGCGTGGTGCTGGAGAAGCAGCTAGGAGTTCTTCATCTGGATCCGCAGGCAGCAGGAGGAGAGAGCCTCTGGGCCTGGCTTGAGCATCTGAAACCTCAGAGCCCACCTCCCGGTGACACACTTCCTCTAACGAGGCCACGCCTACCCCAGCAAGGCCACACCTCCTAATCCTTTCCTGGGAAGTCAGGTTTGGGCCGCTTAGCCACCACAGTACCCCGCCTTCAGAGCAGTGGTGAGTGGGAATTCAAGCAAAACAGCCTTAACACAGAGGCAAATTTGAGCAGCTTTATTATTTTAAGAATATCCCATATTAATTTCCAGATCATCATACCAATCCTTAAACTAGATTCACCAACAAAGAGAAGGGTTGGAAACTATACCCAAACATTTTCTGCAGAAGGAAAGAGCAAACATATGATTCTTCTGGACGTTCTACTGTTGCTTACAACCAGTGGTTTAATTTACTGGAGTTGACTGTAGCCTGGGCTGCCAACTTGAGGTCAGGCTGACGAAGAGGGGAGGCTGCCACCTGCTGGTCAAATGCATTATTTCCCCCATTCTATGCCTCAAGTTAGCACCTAGCAATAGATGTGACCAGACGGAGAAAACATCTTTTTCCTTGGGCTTGAACTCACACCTTTAGATCTCCGTTACGGGCTACAGTCTGCTCATCAGGCGACACGTGGAAAGTGTCAGCAAGCCAGTGGAAAGCTTTCCCAGGGGGAAGCAAGCCTGTGCATGTGAAATACTCACTGACTTACCAAGTGTGCTGCACTGACCCGTGGGGTTTCTTCCTGACTGGTGACACATGATCGTTTATTCCACCACCCTCAGCTCTGGCTGTCGGTGGACTGACGTCAACAAAAAGACAGGCAAGGGGCAGATCTTCTTCCCAGAGTGGTAATAGTTTGTTTTATAAGATACTCTCTTTGAAGTTCCAGAGATGACTCAGTGGTCAAGAGCAGTGGCTGCTCTCCCAGAGGACCCGGGCTCAAGTCCTGGAACTCACGTGGCGGCTCACAGTTGCCCCCTTGTGGCTGCTGCCCACACTGCATTCACCAGGGCAGACACAAGCAGGCAGGATTACACTGATTCCTTACACATCAGGAAAACCCACCCCCTATCAGTCGTCTCTAATTTGCTACTGACAACTTGCAAATACCTCAATGCAACTACCATCTCCCTTCATTGTTTCCTAATTAAGGGCTCAGGGGTGAAAGAGTTACCGAGGAAACGGGGAGGGGACAAAAGACAAGTGACACGAAAATAGAAGGCGGGGTGGGGGGGTGGGGCGAGGAGGGGGGATGGGAGGCTGGGGGTGGGGAGTGGGGTGGGGCGGGGTGAGATGCAAGGGAGGGCAGGGGGCTGAAGATGAGAAAGTTTGCCTGAAAATGCCATGACGTCCAATACTTTGTGTGATAATTAAAAAAACACAAATAAAAGATCTCCAGGAGCCACGGCCCTTGACTAAGGGGCTGGTAAAGATGAAAGTTAGGGTGAACTGTGTGTGCGGATGGCTAGTCGTCACAGTCAACTTAACCACACCTGGAATCAGCTAAACCCAAGCAGTTTGGGCACACCTGTGACAGATTTTCTTGATGGGCCACACCTTCTGATGGCAAGCCACCTGAAATGACAGGGAAGAAGCTTGCCTTTTCCTGCTTGACCCCATGCTTGGTGGCAAATTCAGCTATCCTGTCGCTGAGGCATTCCTTGGGTGGTATTGGAGCCTACTTCTTTTTGTTTGGTTGGTTTTTTTTTTTAAAGATTTATTTATTTATTACAAACATCTACACACCAGAAGAGGGCACCAGATCTCATTACAGATGGTTGTGAGCCACCATGTGGTTGCTGGGAATTGAACTCATGACCTCTGGAAGAGCAGCCAGTGCTCTTAACCTCTGAGTCATCTCTCCAGCCCTGTTTGGTTGGTTTTTGAGACAGGGTTTCTCTGTGTAGATTTGGAGGCTGTCCTGGAACTCGCTCTTGTAGACCAGGCTGGCCTCGAACTCACAGAGATCTGCCTGCCTCTGCCTCCCGAGTGCTGGGATCAATGGTGTGTGCCACCACTGCCCAGATAAAACCTACTTCTTTAGGTTTCCAACACAGACAGAAGACCAACAGCTCACTCAGAGGCCCCCTGGACCCCAGCACCGGGTAAGAGCTGTGCTGTGACTCAGATCCTTGGCCTTTCTGTCAGGAGACAACCATGGTTAGGTCACTCTAACAGCCCCGTATCTCTACAGAAATGGGCTTATGTACTCCTGCAGGTTAGTGGCCGTTAAATAGATTGCAGGACTAAACATATCGCAAGACTCCTAAGCCTTACTTTGGTTCTTTCTGCACTCGGTGACTACCACCTTACAGACAAGGTGATCTCTAAGTGTCTAAGTTAATAAATCCAACACATTTTGGTTTCTTGCTCGTGTATTTCCTGCAGTCAGAATGTGGTTGTCATTTATTTGGGGGAAGCACAGAGAGGAGGACAAATCTCGAGTCCTGAGCTACCTTCTTTCCGAGGGTCCTGGTGTCCCCATGTTAGCCAGGGTTAAGACTATTTAAGGGGCAGGAGGGAACACTGATAGAACACACCTACCTAATAACTGAATTTTGCACTTTTAGCCAAAGCACTTCATATTTTTAGAAATAATGACTGTCATTCTTGGCTTACCCCTGCATATATTACTAACTAAAGGAGGTCCACATTAAGACAGAAGTTTGCTGCCTTTCACTTTGTTTTTTGTTTGTTTGTTTGTTTTTACGAGACAGGGTTTCTCTGTATTGGAGGCTGTCAGTCCATCTCAGCCTGGAACTCACAGAGATCCGCCTGCCTCTGCCTCCCGAGTGCTGGGATTAAAGGCGTGCGCCACCACCGCCTGGCAGCCTTTCACTTTCTTGTATGCTCTGTTTTACTCAGCTATAAGGTTATTCTTGATCATAACTTACCTTGGTTTGCATCCATATTGCCGTTATTGCAATTCGCAGATGTAGCATTGGTGTGATTTATTTTCAGTTATGCTATAAAAACACTTTGGCGTAGATACCTCAAAAAAGATAACTTCAGAATTAACAAAAATGGTCATCAAGAGATTTCTAGGCTTTGTTTTTTATATATATATATAAAACCTGTATTTAGAATTTCACAGTGAAGAGGTCCTAAATTATCATACAACATAAGGTTATGTAAAAATAGAAGACATGGACACCTTTAAATCTTTAATCCTTTAGGCAGCAAGCATATTACTCTTCCAGGCCAAACACTGCTCAAACAAAAAAAGAAAAATAAGGGCGTGCAAAATATTTACAAAATATGCAAAGCACACAATAGAGACATTTCACTATATACACGTGTCATATTACTAATGAAACTACAACTTTCCTACTGTGTGCTCTAGTGTCTGCAAATAAAATTGAAACACATCCCTCAGATACAGCACCTAGGCTCATGTCTGGGATAGAGCGGATTTTAAATGAACCACAAGCTATTGAGCACCTGGACAGACACTGGTGCTGACGTTCCCCAGACTGTACTGAGGGTCTACCGACCGGAGACAAGACAGTGAAAGCTGCCGAGGCGTGAGATGCCCACACACAAGACAAGTGCTTAAAAAAATGCTCTCGACAGCTTAAGATACGCAACTGTCCTCCATGGCTTTTAAAGTGAAAATAAGTATAGATTCTTTAATATTACATTTCATATGGACATAAACTATTCAGGTGATCCAATAAGAAAAAAAAGAGCCTCTCTTGCAAGCCACTTTCAATTATGTCAGAATGGAGGGTCCTTCTGAAGGAAAACTTGGAAATTAAGAAATTAACTTAAATCCAGGGCTCTTCACGGCTGGAACTATTTTTCCAACACTTAGGGAGTACCCCTTTGATGTGGGTGGCCTGCGACACTAGCAATCTGCTCCTCTGCAGCAAGCCATGCTCCCAATATGAAACCATTCTGTCAAAACTACCAGTAACACACTGTTGAAATGCTACCACCGTAAAACATTCTTTGTAAGTGCTAGTGATTTCGTGCTGGAGTAAAAAGACTTTCAGTCTGTTCATAAAAAAACGGGTCTCAGTACTTTAGTTAAAGACACAATTATTGCAATAACACAATGGACTCTCAAGTTCACCTCGTGAAGGGAGCCGATGACTTAACTCTAAGTCAAATCACAAGCACAAGCTGGCTGCAAGGATCCCACAGATGTAGCCAAACGCACAGTAGAGACTTATCAAGAAAAAGAAAAGCATCCTTTTCATATTAAACGAATACCCTATTAATGAGTATGAGGGCAACTTTAAGTTCATAATATAAACTGTAAATAATTGCAACTTTAAGTTCATAATATAAACTGTAAATAATTGCTTCCATAACCACCATCTCCACGTAACTGACAAAATACATTCTGTTCTAAATTCCCAGCACAGGCAGATACTAGCTAAAAGCAAATAGCATTTAGAAACATTTTCTTTTTTAAATTAACATCTTCGAAGAACTTAAAAACATTATATCTCACCAAATTTAAAGTCCTTTTTCTGCAAGTAAGTGATCCCAAACCTCTGTTATGGACAGACAACAGGGCCAGTGACCTTTAAACAAGGACTTTGCACTAGGACCCCAACTATGTTAAAGGATTAGCAGGTTCAATACATTCTTTGTGGTTTCATATAATTGCTTTGCAATTGATTTAATTGCTTTCTTTTAAAGGAATGTATTAAAATTCCTTTAGAAAAAAAGCAATGTATTTTGAAAAAAAGGGATATGAAGCTATAATTTCTTAAATATGAATATGAACATATCAAAAATTTGAAATGCAGGCTATTTATTCTTGCACTCCTAACATAGGAAAGTGGTTTTTTTAAAAAAGTTTAAATTAAAGAAAAAAGGCAAAAAGCTAAAAATCCTTAAGGAAATTAAGGAGTTTTTTTGTTTTCGTTTTTTTTTTTTTACAATTCCTAAGTCAATATTTTTGTACTAACAGCTTTGAGTATGAAGAGGCAAGGAAAGTAAGAAACCTCAACAAAATAAATACAGTCAAAATAAACAAACCCCTTGGTATATAGAATCCTTTTTCCTCCCGGGAGATCTCACTGGGGAAGGAACACTGGGTAGGAGGCTTAGAGGCTCCCTGCGGTGTCGCGCCACAGAGCTGGTTTGCAGCCTTGGTGTCTAGGAAGGATGTTTTCCTCGCTTGGATCGGTCAGATGAGCACTGGTGTAGTGATGGGTGTGAAGCAACTGCCACTTTGTCCAGGTTGAGTCTCAGTGCAGTGGGGACTGCGAGTCTGTCTGGATCCCAATGAGTGATGGTGGCTGTGGCCCGCCAACCGTGGTCAGCACTGGTCTTGGGTTCAGGCGGGGCGGCAGAGAGTTAGCAGGGCGGATGAGAGGCGGGGGAGGCTGGTTCAGAGTTGGCCTGGGTTGGATGAACCGCGCCTGCTGCTGGAGTGGAGGAGGTTGCCGGTGAAGAGCCGGGGCGGCAGGCAGCGTTGGACGGAGGAGTGGCGGAGGCTGGTTCACAGTGGCAGTGGGGGCAGTTGGTGCTGGAGTGGGTGGTGGGGCAGGAGGTGATGGACCCAGAGTCCGAGGAGCCTGTGCGGTCTGTGCCTAGAGGTGAGGAGACAAAAACACACGTGTGAGATCTAAGTCCTAACAAACGGGACACAATATAGTTTGGGCTGTCACAGGAAAAAACAAAACAAATCAAAACAAAACAAAAACATAACACCAGTGTTTATTGGAAGCACACGCTTCTTTTATTTTTAACAAAACAAAACAAAACAAAAAAACCCTCCTTCCCCACCAAACAAACAAACAAAAAACCCCCAAACCCAACAAAGCTACCAGACATCTTTATTAGCAAACAGCTTAACAGTAGAGAAAATGCACTTTCCGCTCGGCTAGGACCAGAAGTCGGCGTGTCATCATCGTGACTTAGCAGTCACAAGAGAAGCCTCACTGAGCAGTGTGCTGTCAGCCTCATGCTCGTTAGCTAGTCCTCACACATCCCTTACAGAACACCGCACAAGGGTGACTCCTCAGCTCAGATTAGCTCAAGTTGCAGACACAAACACACCTCCTCCTCTTCGCCAGTGCTCTTCCCTGAGGGCTCATTAGTAGCACTCTTTGTCTCCTCCCCTAAAGCAGAGGCATCACCATTAGAAGCCTGGGTTCCTTGTTCTGCTTCCCACTCCTGTAATACCTCCTCTAAGTTAAACCGGCGCCTGTAGTTTACAAAGAAGTTCTTCACTTGGCCAACAGTCTTGTTGCCAATTACATCTGCAATAGCTTGAAAATCTTTACCATATTTGCGGACACCTGGAAGGCAAAGTAAATAATACACCTGTGAAGGATCAGCAAGGAGAGCTGCGTGTACTACACATCATGCACACAGACAGCAACCAATAACCTTCCTGATAAACGCTGCTCGTTTCCCAGTTCCCACACAGAGGCTAAGCTATCATCAGGGGCACAGATGAAAACCGTCAATTACGGCATTGCAGCCGGCCAGCCACTTGCCTTCAACTGAACGATCAGAAACTTACCATTTTTTACATACTCAGCTATTTTCTCCAGTCCTTTCTTGAACTCACAAATACAGTCCATTTATTGTAAAGTATTGACTTCTTTGTCCCATCCAATGCCACATTCATTTATTTCCCTAGTAGCCAGTCACCTAAATTTGAGTAACGCCATTTGTAAACAAAACCGGATGGGAAGTAACCATCTCTTTATCCCCTCAATGGACTGAGTGTACTGTTTGGTCCCCCTCAATGACTGAGTGTGCCGTATGATTCCCCCATAATGACTGAGTGTGCCGTATGGTCCCCCCATAATGACTGAGTGTGCCATATGGTTCCC